ACATACGGTTAATTCCAAACAGAATTCCGTTTCTCGTCAATATTTTGTATGAAAGTCGAAAAAGCTTCCATGTTTACCCCATACATCACGTCAGGGACGAGTTTCCTCTGCATTCATTTCACTTGAGCAACTCAGATATTGCACAGATATAGGCAATTTAGTGAGAGGTAAGCGCGGTATGTGTGTGTGTGTGTGTAGTTTACTCATCACTGCTACGTACACATTTGTTCCTTTTTTGCAGTTACAAATCATAGCGTTCAATTGTAAACTATACAAAACATACCAGGCCGCATCCAAAGCCCCGTTCGGTTTGGTCATCCTCGGGCTGTGGGGACAGGAGACTTCGGACGTGAAAACGGAAGAAACATTGTTCGGTTTTATGGGTNTCACGGTGAACAGTGTGGTCTTTATTCGGGAATTCGATCTCACTCCACTGATAAACCTGGTGAATTTCAGCAAATTCTATCGATACACCGGTTCCATGACTGCGCCACCCTGTACGGAGAACGTGATTTGGACCATCTTCGAGAAGCCCTTCCCCATTCTATCCAGTCAAGTATGTTTTTCCAACCTGTACAGCATTGCAAAAGGTACTTTCGGAAATATTCCCGAGTGATGACTGCGATTCCAATTGTTTTCACACTGTTCCTCGGCATGTACTCAGTCATCAAAGTTCTACTATTCACTGCACGCTTAATTGATGCCTTTCATCTCACCACTCTTGAACTATGTGCAACTGCTGATCTCCGGTTGAGGTGCGTGGCTGAATGGGACTATCAAACTTCCCTTCTTCACAGTGCACCACGCGTCAAATAAGGAGTCGATACATGCGAATTGGGACAGAAAATTGTTAATTAGAAGTAATCGATACATCAATGAGCTTACTGACCTTTTGTACAAGTTGAAGACCCAAGAGGCTAGCACTGAGATAAACAGAATAAGCAATATTTTAGCTTATACAGTTGATTTATACCTGAGCGTGTATGGACAGGTAAACCCCTATTTCTAGTCGAGCGCTTTCTTCCTTGCGGATTTCTGTGTTCGACTCTTAGTTGAGTTGATGCAATTGCAATTTTGTTGGTAAGCTAAAAGAGATGCATTGCAATGCCAGCCAATTTTGCACGAATCATCTCTGTTCTGGAATAGGTATGTCAGCAGTATTTTGCGCAAATGTTGAATGATCCGGTTATCTAGCTCGATTTCACTAGCTCTCAGGTTCCCTAGGTCACACGCGTGAACGTCCATGCAATCAGCCCAGTTGGGCAATGTTCAAATCGAACTATGTCATATATGTTTTTTCCGTATCGGTTAAAAATATTAAGATTGATTACTTGAAGATCTTCGGCATTTTGCATATACATATATGGTCAATCTCCTTCTATGCCACACCCCTGAGAAGCCACATTTTCCAGTATCTTCCCACTTTTTCGAAAACCCAAACCAACCGTATACGTAATAAAGTAGTTTCCGATTGTGCAATGTCACACCCCTCAATATATCGCAGTTCCCGATACGTACTCACTTTAGACATGACTTTCCCTCCTCCTCCCTCAATCACATTCACCACATCGTTCGGACCAGTTCACCTCCATATCAAATTTTGTCATCTAACTTGACCTCAACCCCTAACTAAACACAAATCACGTCCACCACCTTGTTCAAATAACTCATATGTTTCTTCGTTTTACATGATCATATAATTGTGCGTTTACAGCTGAATGAGAGCACGTGACATTGATGGCCAATATCAATTCTGCCCACATATGTCTCCTTATGTTGGTGAAATGGATAAAAGGAAGAGGATGTTTCACTCACTTGGTCGTTGACTGATGTTCGGGGCGACCATTGACCATCCATCCTGAAATGTCACACTCAGTCGATGGCGTTTCACCTAGTGTGACGCGTTCATGGCACTATTCACTGATTGAATAATCTTTGCGAGGAAGACACCGGTGCAAGTGATCGGAAATAGTATCATTTAACGTCAAAATGTGCAAGCACCCATCGATCAACTGTTTAGAATTTGATGATGGGTTATTTAAAATTTTGTATCAAGCCTTTTTTAGTCATATTGTCGTTTTGAATCAAGGTAGTAAAAAGTAAAAAGATGAATGTGAAGCAGTGAATGCGCCGGAAGTTATCTCAATCAGAGAGGTGCAGATGTTATTGGATCAATTGAAGGCGTTTGCCTTGGCTAATGCTCGGAGTTCAAGTCGACTATTAGAGTGTACAGTTGATCTAAACAGTGGGTTTGTTGATGTCCAAAGGAGAGCCAAGCTGAGACAAACGATTACTTATGAATTTGCTAAAAATACATCTTTGTAATCTGCAATGATTTTTTGCAATTCGGTGGGGCACTCGAATATCTTCATTTATGCGATGGGCAGGCAGAGGACAGTAAACAGAATCGCCGAACAAAAGTGCGAAACTAAAACCTGGTCACAAAGGCGACGGCCATTCTGTCTACCGATGGGCTCTGTCGCACTAACGTGCAAACGGGTGAACGATAATCGCGATAATCGCCTGGTGAGCAGGTGAGTGGAGTGAGATGTCAGATGTGAGCGATCGATGACCGACGTTGCGCGGACGTGCCTGTGTGAATGGATGAACAGTACTCGCACTTGTCCTTGAAATTAGACAGGTCATTGGCCAAAGGTCATTGTAACCCGAGTCTAAAGAGAGTTTGTGAGGTGCACTTCTATAGTCTATGAATCACGTATTGGACTTAATCCAACCAGCAACGGTCATGATGAATGCACCAATCGGTTTGAACATACTCATAACACAACAAAAGCGAACGAACGAACAGATGTCTACAGACGCTAATAGTACATATTTCTCACCAGAAAGTCATGGATTGTTTGCACACCGAACAATCAGTTTGAATATGGGAAAGAAGTCAATGTTCTGAATATATCCCTTGACATATATTTCATTCATTTTATATGATATTCTTTCCTCCGAGTATGATTATTTGTCTCATTGTATTCGAACTGGTTCACTTTTGTTTTCCTTGAATAGATTGATAATAATGTGATTATAATAGCGAAAATAGTTGTATATTTAGGTGGATCTCATATACTTAATTATGTGGTTAGCCAAACATTGCAACCGAAAGGATTATTATCTGGATTCAGTATGGGATAATTGGGTCGAAAAAAATTTCCCTGCAGAAAGGTAGGTAGTTTCCGGATAACTGGAAACTGAGAAGGAGCTGAATACCGCATGCAGTGAACCGATATTAAGCCCAGGTCGTCTTAAAAGATTTTAATTTCCTCGATACATAAAGGATATGCAGAACGGTATATCTAAATTCCGTCAGTAGGTTATTGTAAACATGGAAGCAAGTAACGGATTTAACGAACTTCTCATCGATCCGGTTTATTTTTTCACCAAACTCACAATCGAGTTTTCATATTATTTAATGGCATATACTACTGACTAACATGATATGTCGCATATCCCGGATTTTACCCACTTTTACGGATTCCCAAGGGGTGCGACATAGCAGAAGATTGATAATATATATATGTATATATTTCTCATTTAATTCACAGTTACTTGTGAATAGCGATGAGGGATAGTCGATAGTAATTTGAAGTGACCATCCCTCAGTCTTTACGCTCACACACAATCCTCAGTGCTTTTAGTCAAACATACACTTGCAAGAATTGCGCTCCTATTAGAGCTCATCAGTAGTACATATCCGAACTTTCAACTCCGGACCCATCCCATGGAGGGTTCGTGTGTTAGCACTGAGCCAACCAGGGCAGAACCGAATTGCCAATTCATTTTTGTTCAGGTGTCACCTTCAGAAATAGTCAGCCAGTTCATCGTTGACCTGAAAGCACACTTAGATAAATATGGTTTAAGTAAAAAGTTTCCAATGGTTTTGCAAACGTTTCTCTTCCCCGTTCACGCCCCCGCATCCCAATGCTGCAGCTACAATTACTACGATCCCAACCGTTTCCGGAAACCGAAACCGCCAAAATCATGGGAAACAATTTTCGTCCGACCCAGCCGTTATTCTCTCCGAACAGCTCTGCACTACCCCGAGTGGTCTATCAATCACCGGATCGAGCGGGAACCGGATCATTTCGTTCTCTGGGGATCGGTTTTGTCACGCTTGTTCTAGTCCTGCAAGAACTGCTCAGCTCAGCCAATAGATAGACAGTTCAATCCTCATTTGCGTGCATTGTGAATTCTTCCCGTTTTGTATCTTTTTATTCCTTGGGTAGATTTTGGCACCTGATTGAGAATAACTAACTTAGCTATCAAAATTTTCATCACCACTTGGGCGCTGGTGGCCAAGTGGTTCGGTCACCAACTAGTGACCTGGGTGTCCCGCTCCACCGCCGCCCGTCTTCCCTATATCTGTATTTTCCCCAAGCAGCCTTTGTATGGCCGCAGCCCCCTTCCTGAAAGTTGACTGTATATTCAATAAATAGAAAAAGGGAGTAAAAAGACATTTATTATTTTTTATATGCGTATCTTCATACTGATGTTCTACTCGGATATTTATTATATATAATCTCTATATATGCCCGCAAAGAGATATATATGTCCATGCTGTATGACAATGGAATTTGAACTATTCAACTTAATTTATCCGGAGCCCCCCCCCCTCCCGGACCGTTTTCGCGAGTATTATTGTTTCATTTTAGTCACATTTTGCCAAAGCATTCTTATTACCTCCTATACCGTCTGATTCATGCTTTTGTTCCCGAAAAATTCATATGTATGTATTTTAATAAAATCAACGCACACATCGCAGTGGATCAGCTTTGTTATTATGAGCTACATGCTCAAGTTCAAAATTTACATTTTTTTCATTGGGTAAATTACAAAATAGATGTTTATTGAATCCGGTAGGATCTGTACACATTGTGTTTGGTTAGTGGTAACAAATTATGTATTTCGCTCACTTACGGATGCTGGACAGTGAGGTGTTTCATTGAGCCCTGACTTGCATGAGTCCATGGTTAGAGCATAAACAACTTTAGGTGCAAAGCAGTTCCAGGCAGTACATCTTCTGAAGTTGAAGCAGTGACAATTGCAGTCTGGTTAACTCCTTTGGGCACACGTTTCAAGGGGTGTCCCCTGAGGTGACCATTCCAGGATAGTGCAAGTAGTTTACTACACGGGGAGTTGTAGTTTGATGTACGAGGAACATATCTCTTCATATTCGGCGATATTGACATGAATAGGGTCCGTGGATTTGCAGCCTTTCAACGTAGATCTTCGGTTGTAATCCCTCGACGATTTTTACGTTGAAAACATGTAATGATTGTAGTAGTCGTAGTAGTACGCACGGAATTCGGAACGCCAACCACGCAATAGGAATCACAGGACCAGAATAAGTAATCAGCTATCACGGACTGGATCACAGAAGCACTGGACCGCAATGGCACGGGTTCCCACGAGAACGAAACGCGAGGAAAAGGTCACAGGAATAGTAGTACATAGTTCGTTTATTGAAAGAAATGAGGGCGATTAGATAATATGTACAAAAGAAGATTATTAGCTATCTAGGCTTCCATCAATCGGATTGCAATACTGCTTGCATATTCTTGCTTCTGTCTGCACTGTCTTGGATTGGCTGGTACGATCTGCCTATGGCGTGTAGTCGGAAGCCGTACGCGTGTCATTAATGTCAGCATTCAAATTTGATTGATCGCATGTGTCCGAAAACTGTGACGGGCCGCTCCAGGGTATGCGTCATCTCGTAGGCCTGAATTACCACAAAACATCAACAATACTATCATCATTTTTCGAATATTATCCGTACTGAATGAACGAATGAAACAAAGAGAAGAGTGACCGATTTTTTTCTGTGTGAAACAGGGCCAGCAAAAAGGGCTTGATTGTGGTGTTGCACACCAAATTATCAATTCTACGATGGGGAAAGTCTCAATTTTCGTCACCCCTGTGGTGTAACACACTTTCAAGTGACCGTGTAAACGCGTATATGTGTATGGGAAGACGCTAGGACGTTGTGGCTTCATACCTATACTGAGTGTGATGCCGTTCTCTCCAAAGTGATATAGTATGAACGAAATATATCACAGCGCCAATGCTTTTCGGATCTTTTACACAAGGACTTTGAAAATAAATATATCTGGATTCAGTGAACTTCATAGGTCAATTAAGAATATAGAGGAGAGATTATCCACCTTGGGGCTCGCTTTAGACATACAGATACCGCAGATCAGTTTCCCCAAACAATCCGAGTCGTACGTTTATATGGGACTAGGCCACATTCAGATCAAGTACCCCTGGTTACCCCCAAAGCTTTGTTTTATTTTCAGTAAGAAATATTAATGAGTTTGTGGACTTAGAGATACAAATTGAAAACCCGTTCAATCAGACACAAAATCTATTGTTTATAGTTCAACCAAAGAGATTGAGATCCTCAAATCACTTCCAGTCACCGTTTCTTACCTCTATCGCAGAGCTCAACCTAATACGACTGACCCCGTCACTAAAATCCTTATTGAATCCCTGTTAGAGCAACCCGCGGACAGATGCATTGTGTTTAGTTGCCAGAATAAAGGAACCGGGATTGTGGTCATGGAGAAAAACGATTGAGCTGATAAACTATTAACTATCGTCTTCGAAGTGAACAGGCTTACAGCCACTCCGCTACACCCTTTCCCATCAAACTTTATCCGAAACCGGTAATCCTACAGCCTCGACCCGTAGTCCTTTAACCTCGTGGTAGAAACTGTAGCCATACCGCTGTAGGCGAATCACATCGAAAACTATCGGAATGTCCTGAAGTCAACGAATGTTGAAACATTTATTTTCTACAAATGTTGGTGTTACAAACTTGGTTGAGAAATGAGAAAATGTGGCGATCGCATGCTGCACCAAATGCTGATTGAAGAAGGTTTCAACCATGAGCCCGTATCGGCAAACCACTTGGCACAACTCTTATGGCTTTAGTGTTTCCATGTGAAATGCACCACTCCTGTAAGTAAAAAATCTTCAACATAACACAAACAGTATATTGCTTGGCATTCACAAGTCCTGATAGGAATCTAAAAGTGATACGGCTATGAACGCTCCAATGTGAGCTGTAACGACCTTCGAAGCCTCCCATCCAGCATAGTATCCAACTTGAACATAATAGCATATTCCTTTTTCACCGGTATGTTGAAACATGAATGTCGTAAAAACATTACTTGGCAAGCTGTCAATGGGTTTTTATGAAGCTGTTCCATATAAATCGATACTAGGGAATCAGATGTTCCAGTTGCTTTTACCTTGGAGGATGCGCTGATTCATCATAGGTCTTCGAATGCGCAGTTACACGCCAACCGCCATATAGTCCCTTTTATTACCCCGCTGGATGATGTCTTCAGTGAATTGAAACAGGTGAGCGTTTTGGTCATTTAGGTAGCTTATTATTTAACAAATTAGAAACTGACTCATTGAAAACACAAATGCACCAAATGGTTTGACGATACGGGGTTATCGTTTAAACCTTCACCAATCAACATGTGGCGCGGCGCTTGATATGACTACAACGGTCAACTTCGCAGTCTACGATCACCACACCTATTTATTAACCACACCTTGCAGCATCAACATTTGTAGATGATAAATTTTTCAGCATCCGTTGATTTCAGAATATTCCGATACTTTGACCTGACTTACCTGCAGCATGATAACTAAAGTTTGTGCGTCGAGGCCAACGGACCACGCGTCGTGTCTAAATTATTGCGGATTTTGTCTAAAGCCTGATGGGAAACGTTTTTGAGAAAAGGACAAGACCCATCAAACTGAACAGATTACAAGGATTCTGAAACGGTTCAGTCAAGAGGATCACCTAAGCAATGAACCATAGGAACGCAAATTGTCTGCTATTTCCTACATCCCAGGGATCGATAGTTTGCTTAAATTCCACACAACTGAGGTTCCCCTCTCCTCTCATCCTATCGATGACAAAATCATGCTGTCACTTAGTGTCTGACAGACATAGTTCAACTCGAACCGAAACCGATATCGGCAAATTTACGTCGTGACGTTCTCCCTACATATCACCACTTTTCACAAACGTGGCACTGGTTGAAACCATCCAGTTAATCGCAAACATGATGACAAAATCAGTTTGGGGAAATCCGTAAAAGCGCTACGCGAACTCTTGTTTCGGTGACTACGTAAGCATGAATTTCTTTTAGGCGGAACGATCTGCTGACAAAAAGATTCAGCAGCGATTAGCCCAGCCCTATGAGACCAATCATATGAAAGTTATTAATAATAGTCATCGTAAGTGTTGTCTTTCTGCAGACATACACAGCATAGTTTAGTCAAACTGCGAACTATATATCGACTGCTAAATTGTCTGTAAGTGTTCGCAGATGATCGAATACCTTTTCTGGATGTTCCTATAGTTAGAAGACATGGCGGAACTATACAATTTCATGTGTATGACAAGAAAACATGGAGTGGCTAACACACATCTTCCTAGCTTTATGCTGAATAAACTGAAGAAAAACCTATTAGAATGGCTTGTACCCGGATCCCGGAGAATCTGCTCACGAGAACTCAGGTTTATCTCAGATATGCCCACTGCGTAGACTACCCAAACCATTTCATTCCATGAAACACGATAGTATAAACACCAAAAAACCCTACAGGGTTATAAAGAATGATTTAATCATCAGTCTTTTTTAAAGTGTGAAGTTGCCGCAGAAAATGAAAGGAACAGTCAGAGCCATGTTCATCATCGTGCGCCTAAGCTGGTCTTTGAAAGGGCACTGATACCTAATACGGAAAAAAGATAAGCTGCTTCCGTGGATTCTTACTCGTTCCGACGCTGTCTCAACTGATAGATAACAGCAATCTAAATGATTTGATAGCGCGTAAGTTACACAAATTCGACAGAACCGAATGGTACTTTTAAAGAAGCGATATTTTAATTGACGGTTCTCCGCACACACACACACACATACACACAAACACAAACACACACACACAGGCCTGGTTTTAGTCTTCTAATTGCAATAAATTTTGCGAAACTGGAACGCCTGGGGTTGGTGTTAGTAATTCACCAAACCGGAAACACTCTGCCATGTAGAGGCTTCAGCTGTGCCTAACCTACATTTTTATCTAATGAAACTCGATCAAATGGGTAAGCATGGATACAACTCAAACCCATTTAGCAC